ACTCCCAGGTCCTTCTCGGCAGAGCTGCTCTCCAGCAGGTCAACCCCCAGCCTGTCCTGGTGCAGGGGGTTATTCCTCCCTAGGTGCAGGACCCTGCACTTGCCTTTGTTGAACTTCAGGAGGTTCCTCTCTGCCCAGCTCTCCAGCCTGTCCAGGTCCCTCTGAATGGCAGTACAGCCTTCTGGGGTATCAGCCACTCCTCCCAGTTTAGTATCATCAGCAAACTTGCTGAGAGTGCCCTCTGTCCCTTCATCCAGGTCATCAATGAATACGCTGAACAAGACTGGACCCAGTACTGACCCCTGGAGAGAGGCACAAATCCAGGTTTGTCTGTGAGCCAACACTAATTGCTCCAGAGGTGGAGAGTCTGGGGAGGAAATGAACTTGGAAGGGGCATTTCCCAGCCTTGTTGAAATCTCCCCCTAACTTTGCTTCAGATTAAGATCGAAGGCTATAAAAAGTAATGTCAGAATGAGAAGCATTGGGGGCCATGTTTTAAATTGCTTACCCAGATGCCTGTCCCACCTCCAGGAAAACCTTCCTTATCCATATTTCTGCTGCTCATTATTGGCCTGCTTTTCAAAGGACCAATATGATGTTCTCCAAGGGATTAGAGTGTATGGCCCAGGCCAGTTTGAGCAGGGAACATTGAGGCTTCCCTGTCCTAGGAAGAAACCTCTTCCCGGTCAGTGGGGATGGGCTGAACTCTACATATATCTTGTTTAAGGTCTCAGCAGTGTAGTGGACAGTTCTGGCCTTCTTCAGCCCTATAAGTCATGGGAGACCTTTGCCCTGAGCACCACTCAGATCTAACCGTAGTGCTTTGGCTGCAAAGCCCTTGTACCTGAGCAGCAGTTGTTGCATTCACTGGAGGAGTTAGCTGTAGGAAATGCTCATCAAGGGCTGTGCTGGGGCCAGGGAGCTTCTGGGACTCCTGTCCATAGCACTGTACATGACTGACTCTCCAGAGATGAAATGCTGGTCCATTACCCTTCTCTATTTAAGGGATTATGATTAGGATTTTCCAAAATGCCTAAGGGAAGTCAATGCCCCCGCTGGATTAGGTCACTGGGGATTGAGATTAGTGTTGTGAAAGGATGAGAAAC